TTTTATATTCTAGCTTTTCAATATATGTGATCCGAATTTCTAATCCATATGAAACTATAGACTTAGTATTTTGACTTCACAAATATCTAATTTGAACCAGTGCTGCATTTAACATACCACAGTACATGCAAAAATGATGTTTATCTGTGTGTTTTTTTATATTTACTTTTAAATTAACAAGTGGAGTAATGTATAGTTCTAAAATTTGAATTATAATGTACAGTTTGGTACCAAACTTATTGAGATAAATTCATGAAATAGTAGTTCAATAAACTTTTGAATGAGAGTCAACAAATGAGATGACATGGTCTTTCACCTGTGACCTGTATCGAAAGAGTTAATATGCTAGGAATGTCAAAATTAACATCTATAAGAAGATAGTTTTTTGGGGGAAGGAGATAAAAAAACGTTCATTCATTAACTTAAATACACTTGAATAAATACATAATACTGACCTATAGGTTAGAAAAATTGTCACATTGTCAAACTTCATTTTAAGTTTCATTTTCTCACTTGTTCACTTTGTAACATTAACTTTTTCCACACAAATTAGATCAATTCAACAGATCTTGGAAGTGTGAAATTATACGTACTATATCTCTGAAGTTAACATTTTCCTTACCTAAAAATGTATTTCTGATAGATACTCTCCTCTTTACACAGAAAGCTATCTTCCCCGTGCATCTGTATTAGAGTTGCATGCCACTAGCCTTTAGGCAACTCTCACCTAACCTAAACTCACAAGATTTCTTGTGATTTGTGGCACTACATGATAACATCATTATGCAGTAAAACCTCTCTACCAATAGGAAGGTGACACAACCTCTCTGTGTACTATCTCCCTCTATGCTTTTGTACTCATGATATTCATGATGAGGCAAGGAATACTAAGTTGCACCAGAAGTGAGGAAGAAGTGGGTGAAGAGGTATCTATGAGAAGCACATTATCAGGTAAGGAAAATGTTAACTTCCAAGATAATACACACCTCTTCACACATGATGCAGGGGCTCCCTAAGGGTACCACATCTCATCTATTCCAGAATACACACTTCATCCAGAGTATATGGGAGGAAGAGGCAAATAAGCTCCATGTGTCATGGATCAAGAGCTCATACAGCCAATGTGTGCAGTATGGTTGGGGTGCATCCAGACCACATCCAGTGAACACCTCAACTCTACCATCAGACTTATTGGAACTACACCAGCTGCAGGAGGAGGGCATGTTGATTAATAGTGTGTGTTTGGCTCAACTCTATCAGCAGACCTTTGGACCAACACCAGTTGTGGGAGGAGGGTACAGAAGTTCATGTAATAAATTATGTAATATAAAATGTGTAGTAAGTGTTCACCCCAACTCTACCGAACAGACGTAACCACAAGAAAAGGGCATGGTATAGTAGTGTATATTCACCTAGACTCCACTGGACAGATGCAGCATGCAGGAAGACGACACAGTCTTATGATGTGCTCAATTCAACTCTACTGAACGGATGCAGACTACAGGAGGAGAGCACATTAAATTAATAAATTCTTCTGGCATTTGTTGGTATAGAGAAATGATGGGTGACCTGTGCTACACTGACTTTGTCACCACTGCCCCACTTCCCACTGACTGACACCCCATGTAGTAGACTCAGTTGTTAGGTCCAATCAATGAGGGTTCTCTATAGTCCAACACCCCAGTGGCTAGGAACTAGTAAGTGATAAGGGTCTCTTTTGCTCCAGTTGAAGAAAGAGGGGGTGGAAAATTTCATGGTGGAGAGACCAAGAGAAAATGCCCGAATCCACAGTAGTCCTGTTTCAACCAGAAAGGTCTTTTACTGGAGACAGTGCAACAGGTGACCTCATAAACCTATTTTGAAAATCCAGAAGGCACGAGAAAGGGAACCAGGCAGAGCACCCCTGATGCTTGCTGTTTTCATGACAGTCCATGGAATAGGTATGGTATGGATAGGAGAGTGAAGAGATATCATAATATACTACAAGGATATCTCCAGTGGCCTTACAAAACACCCCATCTCAACAGTGGTCATATGTGGAGCCAGGGCAGATGGTATGAGCACTTTCCATTATCTTGACTCAATTTAGAATTTTGGGAAATGAATGTACCTTGAGAGGCACCACCAGCCACCAAGCAGGATCTTGGGAGCAATGCTAGAAAAAAAAAGGGAATGTACTCACCTGACTAAGGATGGTGAGTTGACTAGATGATAGCAAATGGAGGCAGGTGGTAATCCGTATGAGATGAGACAGTTAGATGGTGAAGACAGTGGGCCATGAAGGTGTGAGTAGTAGTCCACATGACTGACTGGAGGATCACATCAAGTTGCCATCAGAAACAAGAGGCAAGGGAATGGGTAAGGTGGCAGATCTGATGAGAAGAAATATGGAACAGTCTCCAATGAAGAGAAGACCAAAAGGAGCAGTTGGCAGACCCAGCCTGCAAGGATAGACAGACACAAGTCCCTGGAAGAAGAATCCAAGGGAATAAAGAGGGGAAGATGAGAACTATGAAATGGTGAAGTATGGGCTAGGTAGCAATGAATGTCATGAACAGGCCACAACAGATAGTCTGGGTCAGATTAATCATAGAAGTGTGAAATGAATGGGAAATAGGAGAAAAAGAAGCAATCACCTTCCCAAGCTGCTGAAGTTTTAGGGAGGAAAGATCGGTCAGGATAAAGTAGAAGATATGAACAATGGAAAAGAGTGCACAAAGAGTCTAGAGCAGTGTTTTTCAACCTTTTTTTTTGCTCGTGGCTCCCTTTTGAGTTTGATTTTTCTCTGTGGGCTCACCTGTCATAGATGCTGTTACTTAGGAAAAAAGTTACTTTATTTCCACACTGTTGATTTAATTATAATATTATTTTTACAATATTGTATTGTTTTTAAATATTTTGTTTATAACATAGTGTTTACTTGTACAAGTAAATAATATTCTGTTAATCACTGAAATTTTATTAAGTATGATCCTTGAAAGTTTTTGAATGTCCGGTTGCAGTGTGGTCAGTGATAAGAGAGGATCACCTCTGTTCACAACATCAAGGCAGCTACGTATTTTTGATAGCAAATAACTTACCTGACTAAAACCAGATTCAACCAGATAAGATGTGGGAAAAGTGATAAAATAGAACTTTGCCTTCTGTAAGAGCTGTGAAAGCTTATTAGCTATTTCACTACTTATCCAAAAATAATGTTTGTCACGTTTGAATCTAGCTTCGGCTGTTGAAGTATTTCATTTGGGCAGTGAAGTTTCGGTGGCCCACTCAATTTACTTTGGCCCCTAATTTTCTGTCATTCACGTGTGGCCCCTTAGAAACATGGTGTGGCCACAGGGGGGGATACGTCTTAAGAGAAAGGTGGTAAAAGGAGCAGGCAGTGTTGGCTCGAAAGGGGCTTGGGTAAGAGCATGCAGGACAACATTAATGTCCCAATCAGACATAAGAACAAAGTGGGGGAGGTTCATGGAGAAGAAGGGACAGGAACAATATGAACAGAACTAGGGAAGAAAACACCTTGTGATATCAGGAAAAGCAAAAGGTGGTAGACAAGGCAGCTTAATAACTGGCAATGGTGGACAGAGTCAACCCTTTGTTGAACAGTCAGGTAAAAAAGGAAGAGAGATGGAGAACATTGGGATGGTAAGTAGAAAGGTGGTGATGGATGGACCAACAAAAAAACATGCCATTTACCCTGGTAGATGAACAGGGTAGACGGACAATAACAATGAGAAAAGAAAAAAGTTTCCCAATAAAAAAAGTCCAGCTCGATGAGCAATGGACCAAACAAATCCCAAATGTCAAGGGACATGATTCCTGGATGGAATAGCAACATGTGAGGTTGAAGAAGAAAGAAGGTGTAGAAGTAAATGGAAGAGGAGGAGAGGCAGACAGTATGAGAAGGAGAGGGAACCAGAGTTTAGCCAACCAAAGATGTGCTACCATGAGGACAAAGATTGCCACAAATCAATGCCAGGACCAATAATAAATTCAGAGGGGAAAGGAGACAAAATGAGAGAAAACATGGAATTGAGAGGTGTGGCAAAGGCATAGATGAGTGGAGTCCCCAGAAGAGAGCACTCTCAGTTGAAAACCTGAGGGTGAAGAGACCATTCCATGGGCATAAGAAAGTCCAGCCAAGAGAACTGGTCTGCACTGAGGCTCACAGTGACTGGTATGTGATGAGCAATGAGGCAAACCCATTGAGGATTGGCCCAATAAAGAAGGTCTAAAGCTTGAAAACAAAGGGTTCTGGATCTGGTTCCCCCTTATGGTTCATGTTGGAGTGAACTATAACCAAATGATTCACCAGGAGGGACAGGAAATGGGAACATGCCTGACATGATGATAAAATTTGAGCACATTGATGTGAAGATTCAACCAGTGGAATAAGCAGTTCCAAAGAAGCCACGGACACAACAAGTGAGAACCTCTCAAGCAGTATGAGAAGGGAAGGCTCTCCTTCTGGTGAAAGAATATTCCAGCACTTGCAGGCAAATAAGAGAAGATTGGACCCAGCTGAGAAAGGAGTTAAAAAAATATTCCCAGGTGCACAAGGTATTGGGATGGGGTAAGAAAGGATTTGGAAGTTTTGACAAGACACTCTAAACAGGCAGCTTCCTGCAGAAGAAGAGAGGTTTGTTTAAGACTCCTTTGCAAATTTTACAGAATAAGCCAATCATCCATGTAATAATAGAATTGTAGACCAGGTCTATGCAGATGGTGCATGAAGGTCCTGACCCTCTGTTGAAGATGTAGAGGGGGCTGATGCAATGCCAAACAGAACAGCCCTAAAATAGAAGATACAATCTCGATGAAAACAATCGAAGGAAATGTCTCGAAGAGTCTGCAATAGGAACAAGAAAAAATGCATCCAAGATGTTGAACTTGGTCATCCACAGTCCAGATGAAAAGGACCAATGAAGGGAAAAGAAATTTCCCATACAAAAATGAAGGGAAGAACAACTATGTAGTGGTCTTCTTAGGGACCATGAAGAAATGAGAGTAAAACCCCAGTGAAGGGCTGTGCACCCTCTCTATGGCCTGTTTGTGCAATACATCTCATAGCACAGCTTCCAGACATTGAAGATAGATGGATTTGAGGGAGGAGGAAAGTGAAACAAGTGTGGAATGAGAGGGGAATGGCAGGAGAATCAGAGGGAAAGACCTTGAGTGAGAACAAGTGTCTCATCTGTCTGTGGATAGTTGTTCCCAAAGATGTGCATACTGCAGCAGATAAGCCCCATGAGATCTGAATCCACTTCATAGTCACAAACGAGTCTGACATCAGGGCAAAGACTTTTGAGCAGTAGGAGAAGGATGGGAAGAGGGGAAGGAAATACTGAAAGTGAGAGGACTAGGACGATACACACGAGTGGAATAAGGAGTTGGGATAGGTGAGTAACCAATTAAGTGAGCAAGGATTGATGCCAGGCAGCTTCCACCCATGATTTAATTGAATCAGGAATACCTCCACAAACAGAAGGGTGAAGATATAGGGCAAAATGGAGGCCCTGTAAAAAGGAGGAGGGAAGACAAACACAGGAAATAAAGGTATCCCTAACCAACAAGTCCCAAATGAGCAGGGAAAGGGCAGAAGTAGTAGTACGGGCCATGATAGAAAGGGGAAGGGAATGGAAATTGCCAGTAAAATTATTTGGGGCTCAGTGAAGTGCCTCAGACATGAGGCACAGAAAGGAAAGGTAAAAAAGCACAGAAAGGATGATTAGGTGAAAATGAAAGAATCAAACACTGGAAAGTAAAACTGACCCCAATGGATCTGCTCCCAAACAAGTGAAAAAGACTCCAAGATCTGTGACTCTAGAAAGGGGAAGTTTGAATGACTGTAGGCAAAATAAAGGAATCAGAAAGTTGAGGGAAATGATGCATAAAATTGCAGGAAGAGAGTTGTTCTAAAAAGGAAGTAGCATCAACACCAATATCAGGAGAAGGGGTAAAAACATAAAATTTGTTAGGGTGAGGGTTAGGAAGGAGGGAATGGGAAGTTTCAAAAGACATGGGATCAAGAAATAGAACAGAACATACCTGAGTGATAAAGGTCCCGATAATGTGAAGAAGTCTAAAAATTCTCTTCAACAAGAAGAGGGGTTCCTAAGGTGTAACCAAGATGAGAAAACAATTGGTCAAAGTCATTTTCCTCATCATATTCCCTCTCAGAACAAGGGAAAGAAATACCAGATGAATGGATGGGCACCAAACCACCCAGCTGCATAATGAAACCCACCACCATAAGTACAATGACCATCATCTCATCCACATTTAGAAACTTGACTAGCATGAGGATATTCCTCACTCACACCAGATCTTGAAGTTACTTGAACTTGAGAGTTCATAACTGGATGAAAGAAAGGAAACAAAATCTCTTGATTACACTGCAAATCTTTATAAATTATGAGCAAAACAAAACATATGTAATACATGCAATGCCAAGGAAAAAGAATGAAGATCACAAGTACAAAAGCATAGAGAAATACAGTTTGTGCTGCCCTCCTATTGGCAGAGGACTTTTACTGCATAATAACATAATTATGCAGTGGCTCAAGTCACGAGAAATCTCGTAAGTTTAGGTGGAAGTTGCCTAAAGGCTAGTGGCATGCAAATCTCTAAGAGAGATGCACAGAGAACATAGCTTTCTGTGTGTAGAGGTGTATATCATCTCAGAATTTACTAAATGTATCTTCACAATATTTGGCAAGCTGTTACTAAACATTACAAATCTATTGAATATCAATTTTTTTGTTGTAAAACTTTAGATCCTATCAATTATTTTCTCTACTGTAATAGATTCGTGAGCGTACAGTGAAACTGTAAGTTAAAAAATATGAAATAAAATGAATAATACCTTTTTTCTTCTTCTCTGAATGCCACCAATCTTAAATTTAATGACCTTCACAATTTCCAACTGTTGTTAACTTATCACACCTATTTTCTTTTAATTTTACTGTTTTACTTCTTGACTTTTTCTGGGAAAGTTGTTTTTTACTCTGTGAAAAGCAATAAGTCACAGCAGAAAGGGAGGAATCAAAGCCAAACACATCATGTGACACAGAACAGTGAATATTGTTTTTCTTATATATTTCCTTTTGAAATTAAAGCTTACATAATATTAACACTTGAATTACAAACTGGTTTGATGACAAACTTATTGACATACATCAATAACACAGCTGTTTCATTAAATTTTAAATACACCTCAGTAAAAAGTTGTGAAAAACATATTTTGACCCAATCCTACTTTGAGTTAATACATAAATTACCAAATTTTTCCTATCTCAAGCAGCCAAGTATAAATTAAAAGATAATCAAATCTTTTATATGTAATTGTCATACTTTCCTAAATGCAAATCAATACACATAAATATCAGAATATCACTGTGAAAAAAGAAACTTAAGATGAAACTCAATTTCTTGAAATAATAGAAATATAAATATTACCATGAGCATTTTCACACTCATTTTCTTCTTCAAAATCATCTTCTTCAGATTCTTCATCTTCCTCATCATCCGAGTCATTTTCTGATTCTGATTCAGCAGTACTGTTGACATTTTCATCTGAGTCCTCAGACGCTACTGATTCTTCTGTATCACAGTTTTGTCTTTTTTTTGCAATATGACTATCATCATCATTATCCGATTCCTCAAGAACTCGAGTTTTCTTTTTTCTAACTAGGGCCAAGTCTTCATTACTATGACCACTAGAAAAATTGCCATTCTCAAGTCCATCATCATCTAACTCTGAGTCATCTCTTATTAACCTTCTCTTGCGATTATTGTTTTGTCCATTTTTGCCACAATTTTCATTAAAGTCTTCATCTGAACTCATTATGATTTTTTTTAAACCAAATGCAGTGTGTCAAACACTATAACTTTCATCTCTGTCTTCAGCTCTTACATACACTATAAAAGAAAATATCAAATGTGAAGCATACTTCAAGTCAAATCTACAAAACCAACTAAACACAATCTTTAAATTTAGTACCTAATATAGAAAATTAGACATTTAATTTTAATGTGTAATGGAAAATGTTGATCACAATACAATTAGCTTATAAATTGTATTCTTAGCCTAAATCAAATAAACTAAAAGACTAATAACAAAAATTACAATTAGACTATAAAAAAAGCCAAAGTTCCTACTTAAAGCTTAAAAATATATACCATGCTCTTAACATTGTTTAGAATGCATTTGTATATTGCTTTGAGTTTAAAGGGAATACAACTAGTCAACAGGACCCACCTATGAATCGAGACAATTTATTGAATATTGGAATCTAACTGTTACTTTTATTGTACATCCAAAGCCCCAATTTGCAGGGCATGATTTGGGTAAAGTAACATGGTGCAAACTATGAATCCTGGGATCTATAGTCTGGTATGCTAACCAACAGACCATGCTCATCACCAATTATCGCCAACCTGCTTCTTATGTTATCACAGCGATTTGTTATAGATATCTATAATATCGCTGACGATAACTAACTTTCACACAATTCTTACTTGTTCCCAATTCACCCTACAAGAAGAACTGCCTTCCAAAAGTGATTGGGTTATCAGGTTTCTTATTTTGTGGAAATTAGGTAGTCATAAGCTTAGTAAACACTTTTTCACAGCTCAGTTCTAAAAACTAATACAATGGGTTGAGTAAGTTATATCAAAAGATTCTGAATATGCAAATAAGAACCACAACCAATATAAAGCTGTGGTGGAACAGCATGAATGAAAAATAAATTTTGATACTGGTTGATGTTTCATAGGTAGTGTGTTGCCACCAAAACTTGAACATTTTGGAAAGGGTATGTAACAGTCCTTTCTGACACAAAATAGTTGTTTCTAAAATCATAATGATATATTAAGATTAAGCACTTAAGATTTCCAAAATGGGAATATCCCTTGTATTTAATGGCATTGGAAAACAAAGAAATATGAATCAACAAAACCCATACAGTAAGTTATAATCTAGCTGGAAACAATTATTATTTCCTTCAAACTTCTCACAATGACAAGTGAGATGTATATTTTAGCCAAATAATAAATGTAGGTGGTGCTTAATTATGCCACAGTCAGTTTTTTTCTTTCATTCACTGTTATTAACTGTTAGACTTGGGGTGAAGCTAACATCTGCATTATGATGAAAACTGACATGGCTCTAGATAAAAGTTCTGGATTAGCACCACATACTCTTTATACTGGCCATATGAACACAGACTAATCTCAATGATAAGAGGTATTTCTTAGAGTGCATACTGACAAATGTTCTTGTGTGAAAAATACCTCTTAGATATAAATTTGGTGCATGAAATACCCACTCTTGGGTTATTGAGAACCACTGAATGTATACAAAATTTTTAAATGTAACTCACAAAGACTATACACGAAGAACCAACCAGATAAAATCCACAACTGAAGTATGTCTAAGGTATATTCTTATAAGCACACATCAGTGAACAAATTTAATGGTCATAAAAGATAACCAAAGATTCTGTCAGACAACCAACTGTTATAAAATTTAGTAATCAAGGTTGTCCTTTGGATAACTAAATTATTTAAGAGTTCAAAGATGTACATACTCTCATGTACAAGTATTTCAGCACTGAATCAGGGAGATGCAATGGAACACAAGCAACGTGAGAACAACGAATAATCAACCAAGAGATAATTCCTGTGATATTTTCATTTTCATGTTTGTAGTGAACAGTTCTGCCAGCTCAGTTAAACTTCTAAATATACAGGCACAATGGTTTTCATTTCTGAGGCACTTGTTGCACACCATGGAAGAAATCTCCATTAATAACATTCAAATTGCAATGTTCTGTGTATGATAGTTCAACCAATCACAATTGACAATTGCTTGCTTACTGTGATAGTTTTCTTGGGTGGAAATTGATGGTTTCATTGGAAGGGTAAAAAAATTATCAGTCTTTCAGTTGAAATACGTTGATATGGCTGCTGAGAACTGTCTCCAGTATTGAAATAAAACAAATAAGTGAACTTTTTGGGTGCATAGAAAATTGAGTTTGTTCAGGCACAAAATAATTGCTACTGTGGAAAATCTGTTCATGTTACAGTAGTGACTAAAGAAAAACTTGTGTTAATCCCTGTACTATAATTGCATGATAGGTAAGGATGCAACATGCATGAAAATATAAAAGAACAATACAACAGTTACTTGCAGGCTTTTTCACACACAAATAAAGTTCTTTTCACTGCATACAGTAAGCATAATATATCTATGTTGGAGTATTGCTTACGATAGTAGGAAAGTAAATTCTCTGAACACTTGGTACACAACATTCAGCAAGTTACTGTGTTATTTTTATGGGGTTCTGGTAGTGATCCTGCTATCGTATCCCACCATTTTACCAGACCTGATTTGTTTATGGCAATTATTCAAACTGTCCAAACAAAACAGATAATTTGTATCAATGTTTTTGTTGTTTTTTTTCACGGAATGTTGATGAGTGTTTTACAGTATTTCCAAGGTGTAGGCCTAAGTTATTTGATGAGGCATGAATGAATACACAATATTGTGTCGAGGATGTCACGGTGTTGATCTCAATAGAGTACTTGATATAACCTTTTAATTATGTTTGTGTGCGTGTGTGTGTGCATGTACCCTAACATTACTGTGAGCCTTCTTTTTAACTTATGGAAGGACAACCTTTATTTATGCTGGACAACTTAAGACTGGTTAATGGATGTCCTTTGGACAACTTTCAAAACATCTTAAATTTGTTCACTGCACATGATTGACAATTTTCAGTTGATAATTATCCATCAATCACAAAAACATTTTAAATACAGTTAACATTGAAAATTGCATTTCCACAGAAAATTCTCTCCCCCTGTAAAGTACATGTTGGTCTACAAATCTATCATGCTTTATAAAACCTAAACATGATCTTCATCAACTTTTGTGGATATCTACAGGCATCTTCACTATTAATCAAACACTCATTCTGGGACTGCATCAATTATCAGAAGGCATTAAGTCTGGACAGGTAGTTGTATCTATAGTAAAAGATCCACACAGCCAATCTGGTAGTTTAGTAAGACAATCTTCAGTACCCAACAAATACAAAGTGCAAAATTAGGTTGTGTTTTTAATTTTATTGGAAGAAACATGGGCTGATAATATTATAAGCTTCCAAATGTAGAAAAAAAAAGAACTTCAAAATTTTCCAAGTGTTTGAGTTAGAAATAAGAGGAATGGTAGGTTTTTTCACTGTAAAATATCACAGTAAGAATTAATTCTCATTGTACTCCTGAATTGTGCATGGATTCTTATTTCCACAAAATTTACAGCAAAGTCTGCTATCTGTTTACACAGATGGAATATTGCCTCATTAAACATTATGATCCAAATAAAAGTTGATCATTATGATAAATATCCACTGAGGAACACAGTACTCCTAATGGATTTACTTTCATAGCTCTCTTTGAGCAGATGTTGCACTGTCAGAATTTTGTAAGCATGAAATAACAGATATGTCTGACTGTGGCCCATGGTTCAACAGCCATCCTCATAGACCCTTCTTGCCACTGATGAAAGGCTTATGTTACTGAGGTGCCACACTTGAATTCTGTGTACCATAAAACAGTCTGTACTTTTCTATTTACCTGTTACCAGTTTGGCAATATCTGTTGAAAAAAATTCTCTCTCTCTTGATTTTGGCCAACATACATCTACTATGCAATTTTCTTTGTTCACCTGGAAGATATTACATTTTACAATGTGTACAACTATATGTAAACACCATGTTCATTTAAGTACCCAGTATATAATAGTGATAATTTTTAAGAGATGGGATGGACTGGCTCTTAGTACAAATAATGAACTCCAACCTAATTGGACTAGAGATAAAAAAAAATGGTAGTCAAGAGGTTGAACTTACATGGGTTACAAAACTGAGTTTCAATAGTAAAAAGTTTATAAAGGTCAATTGTTATAATTCATCTGATCAAAAAGATGAGATCAATAAGAAACTGTATGAGATCAGGGTTGTTACTAATACGGAAACTGATGCAGAAACTATGGGAGATTATAATTTTATACACACTGAAAGGGAGTTCAAGGAATAAAGTACCGAGGAAAGAAGATGTCTTACAGTAATTCAGGATGAATTTCAATACCAAATGGTCAGAGAGCCAACTAGGGAAGATACCATTTTAGATTTATTATTAACCATCAATAAGGATATGGTTACAAGAGTGTGAGGAAGCATTTTGGGAAGAGCAAAATTTTGGCAGGTCCAGAAGACAAAATGCGGGGTCTACATAAAACAAATGATGACAGTATTGAATAAATAATATATATATATTCAGAAATCTAATGTGTTTAATTTTTATTTGATTTTCTTTCCAAACCTTAAAACACCAGTATTAATTAACTTCAAACTCAATAAGTAGTTACCTTTAACAATGAAAATTGTATCTCATGGCCACAGTTGTTTATAATTATTCTTCTAGAATGACAAATAAACACTTGTAGATGACTTGCTGACTTCAAAAATATCAAAGGTAAACAGCAATTGATGGACTTTTATCAGGGTTTTACTTCATTAGCCTAGAGCAAAAAGGATATAAAAATTGACAGAAACAATACATGCGCAACAATATTATGTAAGTGTGGACGAGTTTTGAACAAATATCTAACCAAAAAGAGTGTTTAACTTTTAAATTTTTTACCAAACCTTAAAACATTAGTATTTAATATTGGACTTTAAAACTGTATGGTTACCAAGACATTTCTTCCATTTTGGGGACTAACTATTCCCAAAGAAATATGTGCATCCAGTGTTCTTTGAACATTTAGTCTAGAAAAGTTGTTATATTTTGCATCCTTGGTCAATCTACATTCACTATCATTTCTCCTTTAGTTTGGTCTATATTTAGGCACAAAACCAAATTTAACTAAACTCAGGACCATAATTGTTCATAATAATTTTTCTGGACCAACTTGTAAATACTGGTAGATGATTTATTGACAATAGTTTACTTCAAAATCATTCAAAAATATAGAAAATGTCAAATGAAATAAAAAGCAGTTGACTATTATGAAGGTTGACTATCAGTGCCAAGGGAGATAAACACAGATGGAAACTACACATATGCAACAATTCTGAGTAAATGTAGAGGTGTAACAATTTACATTTTTACCATAAACTGACAAAGGAATAAACAATGAATGTTACAAATTATACTGAAATTTAGGGTAATGGAAATACAAAGAAGACAGAATCTACTGACTATTACAAATGGGTATAATTACCATTATTTTTCAAAGGGTTGACAGACTTATGACTGAGAAAATGTGTTGTTCCAATAAGTATGTCAGGGATCTCAGAATTGCACTATTTTCAGCCCCTGTCATTGAATAATTAGGTTTCAGGCTTTGCTACATATTGAAACAGACTAGACTTTCCACAGAGTTGTAAAGGAGGTCAAAGATCAAATATGTTAGCCTTTCTTTTTTCATTTTATGTAAATCAACAAACAAATACACAAGCACCTGATAATTAGGATTACTAACATTATCCTATTTTTAGAAAGAATAGTAAGTGTTGCCCTAAAAATTATATGCCAACTAGTCATACTTATGAAGTGGGAAAAAAATTGTAGTCTTGTAAGCTTTACAAAATCATTCAGTGAAATGAGATGTCATAAAAGAAATCCAATCTTGCCTTACTAATTTGTTAACTTTTTACGAGGATGATGTTTGTTATTTGGAGGATGGAAGGGGTATGAACTTAATGTACTTTGAAAAGTTACCACACAAAAGATTAGCAAAGAATATCGCATCAATAACGATTTGTGGGCAAACCATTTAAATGGACTGTAGGATGATTGGATGAGAAAAAGGAAAAAGCTGTTATTCATAAAGTCCTGTCAAACTATACACTTGTTATTAGTGAAGTGCTTCAGGAATCAGTGATTGGGCCTTTGACAAGACTGCAGAAAACTAGCACACATATGCACATTGTACGTCAAAGGATTTAGCTAACAGGTGACGATTTTCCTCAAAAACATTTTTGTTACACACTCACATAAAATTAAGATAACATAAATTACTGAATTCTACTAAATAACAGGCCTTACTAAATAATATTAAGTACTAGAAGTTTGGAAAATAATTTAGTAATTATGCAAAACATCGCCATTGTTTACACACCATTATTTCTTAGAAATGAGAATGTTTTCTAAGTTTTATCATGCTACATTTCCCCATACAATAATGCCCTTTTTTATGAAGCTTTTTGCTGTTCTCTAGCAGATGTACGATTTTTAACATCAAGGTGTCTAATTCAAAAATCTCCAGGACTCACATGTGGTGTGACAAACTAACTATCTCTCAAATGCAATTGTTTTATCTATTAATGTGTATGTGAATTGATAATGCATATTTTCAAATATAAGTTTAAATAAAACAAGTTTTATTTCATTTAAAGTATGGTGTATGTCCCCTTTAATTAGCAAAGTCTGGAAAATTTGTAATTTCTGCTCCAAAGATTTTAGCAAATCTGTAGCCATAATATCGTAACCACCACTAATAAAATATGAAGTAAATATAAATTACTCTTTTTGGCAATCCCTGGTTATCCGGGTCCCTAAATTTATCAAGAGCCTGACCTCATCATTAGAGTACATGATTAAGAACCACTATTTCTCATTCTTAGGTGGTAAAAAACAGATAACTAACTTCCATCTTGAAAATATTCATTATTAATCATAATTATTATTGATGTGGCACAACATACCATTCTGAAATGTGTTCTAGTAGTGTATCAAATGTCTCGTGCTTCTTTTTGCCGTGGTATTAGCTCCACATGAACTCATCAAGGTAAGGTGGCAAAAGAGCATTACTGGTGCCCGACACAGATTTTAACTTCGACATGCAGTTTTTCCAAAAAGATTCAATATGGTTAGTGTGTGCACTCCTGTTACAAGGGCAGTCAGCAAAATTAATAAGTATGACTAATGCAGTCATTGGACTTTGCCTTATTCATGTGTGTGTGAATGAATGCAGTCATGTTCTGAGTAATTGAGCGAAGAAGTCGTTCATGAATATCTTGTTAGTATGTGTGCAGTCATGTTATCGGTAATTTTATAACATTATTAAATGGGACCCAGATAACTAGGGATTGCCCTCTTTTTTTTCTTTCTAGACTGATTTCAGGTTATAACAGAAAATTACAAAACTGATCCTAAACAGCCTTAGGTTTATATAACAGTTTACATCTGTTTTTATTTCATTTTACTGTTTTATTTCCTACAACTGTATCTAACTACTGAACATATAACAGAGCTATCAACATCAAGCAAGCAAATAGCTCACTTAATGGTAAAATACAGTAGTGAACTATATAACGCACATGCATTCCTCACTGAGAATTTTTTATTTAATTATTTTCATTTATATTTCCTTATCTAGCCTAATAAGTTTTAAAATTTTACAATTTAATTACTTTTACAACAATGAATAAAAATATACAATGAAAACAAGAAATTTAGTACTTATGTATTGGACTTGCAATTTTTTTACAGTTGAAGACTGAATATTGATAAAAGTTAACCCTAACTTTTCCTAGGATCATTGTTAGTATTTCACCGAGTTTTTATTATTACAAATAATCAGTTTAGAACACAAAATAATAACACACACACAGCATACAATGTCCTATAACTATTATAATTTAACTGGCTTTCTAACTAAAGTATAAGTGTGTTAAAATAATTTCCTTAGCTGGTCAAACTGAACTCAACAACAGAAACTTTGAATCTGTAAATCAAATAAGTCAAAAACTGTCATGAGAACAAACTAGAATTATATAGAAATCAATAAATTAAAATATTGTCTTTCTGTTTGTTATAAATAATGCAAAAGCAAATGCTAGAGAGAATTAGAGAGATTTTTTAAAGACAGTATGTGATAAGAAGGCAAAGGATGTAGGTTGGACTTTCTGGTCTATATCTAAGTAAAACAAGTTTATCACAGGTAATGAAGTCACATCTCAGCAAAATCTATAAAACAAGTCTGTAATTTGCATTAAAACTCGGAAACTCAAATGCAGTGGAAAAATTAGCTAATGTGTGCTATTTGGAGCAAACAAGTGTCACATGACAGAGAAAAGTGAAGACTGAGAATTTCTTTAAATATTTCCTTTTGAAATTACAAACCTAAAACTTTTATTTAAAATTTTACTCATCAATTACACTTTGATGCCAAGTTTATTGACATGTATTAATAATAAAATAGCTTAATTTTGAATATAACTCTGTAAAAATCTCATTACATGCATACTTTTACCTACTCATAATCAGAGGGATTAATCAAAATTCTGATTAAATCAGTTGTCACGAAAATAATCAACTAATCAAGATTAGTGGTTCTCATAATTAATGTTTTTGATTATTCCATCAATCGATCAACCAAAATTACTATTAAATTAACTGTCACAAAAATAATCAAAAATTAGAGTTTCTAATGCTTTCAACTATCAAAGTCATTGAAAAATTGCAAACAAACTTGCTCACCCTGTCTTTATTATGGATAAGCTACAAAGACTATCTGCCACTGTCACTAATTTTGAACTGCTGACTAGAGGGAAAGCAACTACTGGCAACATTGGTTATTCATGTCATATATATAGAAGTGTATATGAGGGAGCATTTCCAAAAATGGAAAGAGGTGGGCAGGATGCCACTGTGTTTTATTTGTTACATGAGCATAATCTTAGCAAATTGAAAAAAATAAAAGGCTCTTATTTTATATACTAGCTTGACAATATCTGTAATTTGAGTTCATAATTTGTACAAAACTACAGACTTAGTATTTTGACATCACAAACATCTAATTTCAACCACTGCTGCATTTAACGTACCATGTGACACACAAAAATTGATGTTTAACTCTGTTTTTTAATATTTACTTTTAAATTAAGAAGTTGAATAAGGTATAATACTAAAATTTGAATTATAATCTACAGTTTGATATCAAACTTATTAACATAAATTCATGAAATAGTAGTTTAATAAAATTTTGAATGCGAGTCAACAAACACAATGACATGGCCTTTCACCCATGACCCATCTGGAAAGGGTTAAATTCTTGAGTACTTCTAACTGTACTGAGAAATTAAGGTACTATAAAAAGACTTGAATTAATTGGTAAGTTGGATAAATACTTGGGTTATCCCAATTTTAATCACACATTAAATACAAATAATAACTTACAAAAAGTGTTTTGGAAAGTTACTCATGCCATCAAGGTAGTGCTATGTTGCTAGGAGTAAAGTTAACACAAACTTAGTAATTACTAGATCTGAGCAATTAATTCAATTACCTATAAGAATAGTGTCACATAAATTGATTAATTGCAATTATGATTTAATCAATTCACATCATGAAAATAATCAAGTAATCAAAATCAGTGTTTCAAGTTATTATTTTTTTCAATTATTCCACATATTCAAGTAATAATAATGTTTCCAGTCTACAAAGATATTTACACTACAGTGTGCAGTCTACACAGACACTATCATCACCACTGTTTTTTAAAACTTTTGTTTATTTGCAATTGGTGCCAGTTATCATAAATAATGCTTTTAAACTAATAAAGTACAAATACCATTACATAACATTTTGGGGGCAAATATAATTGAAATGAAATAAATTTCAACAATCAAAACCAGCAAAATTATAACCTAAATTTAAGGTACTCTTTTGGAACACACAAATTATTATTATTTGCTGAAAAAAAACATGGATAGGTATAAATTATTAGGCAAGATATTATTGTTTAGTGAATCATTAAAATGGTGATTATGACGCTATCTGTGTAGACTGCATGCCATAGTCGCACTGATTAAAGTCTGGATTCACTTTGGTGTAAAAGGAAATGAAAAAGGAGCTCCAATCTTAGAAGAGATGGAGAGGCCAATTTGTCAACACTGTAACAAAGCCGTCTCGGCTAAGTGCTCCAATACTACAAATCTGTTTTCTCACCTAGACAACTATCTGAAAGTCTATTCAGAGGTGGTGCCAAGTACTAGCAAGGGTACAAAGAATCAGCCTACACTGTTGCAAGTTATGGAAAAAGGAAACAAGTATGATTCTGATTCCAAGTGAGCCAAAGAACTACACTGCACCATTGCTTGCTTCCTTGCTAACTACGTTTTCATTTCATACAATAGAAAAGCCTGACTTTAAGAAAATGGTGAGCATTTTTGATTCAAAACATTCATTGCCATCAAGAAATTACTTTTCTGGAAAGCAAATTCCTAAGTTATATAATGAAATGAAATAGAGTGTTGTAAAGCCAGCTGTTCACAGTGCCACTTTTTATGCAGCTGTTACAGATCTATGGATGGGATACTCACGAATTCCATACATGAGTATTGCCATACATTTTATACATCCAAAGTGGCAAATGAAGTGTTTTGTCTTGATACAATACCTGTTCAAAACCACATTGGCCAGAACCTGGCTGATGCAAGAAGTATTATTCAATTGGGATCTTTGATATGAAAAGTTGAGTTGCACAACAACTGATAATGAATCAAATTGTGTATCAGCATTTAAGATTCTTCAGTGTATTAGGATAAGTTGTTTAGGCTATAACCTAGATCTCTTGTCAACAAAGCACTTCAGAGTTTAACATGCTATTACCCGATTCCATTCTTTAGTAGCAGTTTTTAAAGGTGCTGGGAAAAAACAGAGATCTACATCTCAACCACAAATATAGCTAGGCCTCCAGCAGCATAAACTAATCTTAGATACTGTCACAAGATGGAGATCCACTTACTAAATAATCGATCAAATCTTAGAACAGAAAGCTATTTGACTGTATTGGCTGAAGATCACAAAAACTGGCACTATATACTTACAGATCATCAAATTGCAATCTTGGAGACAGTAGCTTCTGTATTACATCCTTTGTCAATATTTACTGATGCTCTTTCTTGTGAGAATCACATATTTTCAGCTGTGCATCCTTTATTCAAGCATATTTTGGAAGAAATTCCAGCTGTTGGTGTAAAAGATTGCACCATGAGTAAGGAAATGAAAGAGACCACAGCAGACCTTGACAAGTTTGCACTCCAGATTTAAAACAAATTACTTGGCTAACAAAAAGCATGTTCAATCTCAGCTTTTAAATGAAGCTGCTTGCATTGCTGAGAAAATTGTTAGAAAGGTACCCCCCCCCCCACAGTTCATCATAGCTTTATAACATAGTAAAGGTTTCCAACACATCCTTAGCATTACTTTCACAAGATAACTACTGAAGGTATTTGTTACCCTTTTCCATTTATTAACCTCTTGAGTCCAACAAAACATTTTCACATGCAGTATTAGCAGTTACATCAAATGTTTATGATGTATTTAATATTTGTTAGTTCTTTTTTGTATGCAAGTGGTACTAATCTTCTTGATCCTTTAAAATTATAAATACTACTTCTGCCACTCAAGTTTAATTATCATGAATGAGACTAGTATAACAAAACACATTACTTTTTAGCATTTAATCAGGTTTCTTTTAGTTTTAGTACTAAACCATGGGAAACTGTTCCATTTTACTCAATAGATTAGGTAGAAAATGGTTCCATAGAATTAAAAATACGCCTATTGAGTATTTATAGCACTAGTCATGCATTCCATATATTTAGTTTCTATAGCATATCAGTATCACACAATTTGCACAAGCTTCAGTGCTTAGTCTGAAGAGTTAGAAAACAGTGGATTGCAGAACTAGAAAGTAGAATTCACCTTCTGTATTTCTGTTTTCCTTAACATATATTAACTGTAACTTGTGTAAGTGTCTGTTTTACTGTTACTGGGCCCCTAGTATTTAATAATCACAATGGTACTACCATACTATTACTAGGCCTAGTAGCAGTGCTAATACTGTTACTGTTAGTAACAGTTAAAAGTAGTAGTACTAGTACTAATACCGAGTTTCAAATGTTCTAACAGTAGTAACACGGGAGCATTGACAAATACTGAAAATTTGAAATATTGTTATTAAATTCAAAGTATAAAGTAGATACATATCAAATAGAGTCAAGTTCCTCGATCGATAAAACATGAAAACAAAGAAATAGTTAAAACCTTTGTTACTTAACTTAGTTTTATAAATGTACAATTGTTCAACTTTATTATTTCGGCAAAAACTAAAATTAAAAAAAAAGACTTATCGATATAATTATAAATTAACTTAGCCTAGTCGAGATTTTAAATTGTAGAATCTCAGTTTACCATAAACACAGTGGCTGTCATCCAATACACAAAACTGTGTTTGAGAACTGGGTAAACTTTATTTCATGCTCGTTTTTGTTTCAACGTTCATATTTTTTTCTTCGAACTAAAAATCAGTAAATAGGATTTACTTTCAGTATCATTTCACAAAGTTAGGCTTACCGGTGCAACAACTACTTACAGCACGTATCCCATAATGCAAAAAGACAAGGTCCCGGATAAAGAGACGTCACTGTTTGAAGCGCCATAAGTGATATTTACTTTTAAACTATTAAACAGTTTTTTGTTGTTGTTGTTTTTGTTTCTGACTAAACTTTTTTTCTTATTTAAGAAAATGTGGTGAATTTTTAAGTATTCAAGACTAGTTGCAGTATCCGTCCCTTAAACGGAAGTTATGTAAATTCATCATTAATGAAA